TTTTTTTTTTTTTTTGTGTGTCAGGGTCACTCCAGTAATTTGCACCAACTGATGTCGGCCAACATCCAAATCATTCGAGGCAGCGGTCCCACGTTGCAGATCGGGACCCCTGCCGTGCCGCCGCAGACCTTCACGTCACATCTACCACGAGGTACCGTGCATGCTAATTTGACAGCCACATATGCTTTCAACGCAATCCGGAGGGAGGAATTAGTGTTAGATTGAACGCCCCCGTCCTAGCATTGTCATACCCTGACACGCACATTTCGACAGAGGTAGCTGCTCTATTTTCCATGGCTCGAGTAATTGAATCCTCCACACCAAAGTACCCTGTTTACAAACATGAAATGGGTTATGTCAGGGCTCTCCAACCCTTAATTTCCTTTGCACTTCTTTTACACAGTGAAAATGCTGGAATGGATTTTTAGAAACATGAACGGAGGAACATTTATTTAGATTGCAAATTCCATTTTGTATCTTTTCCTCCATAGGCGCAGCTGCAGCCGCTGTCATGTCCAGCTCCAAAACGGTCCTCCGACCGGCCACCGGAGCAGGGGCGGGCCCAGGCCAGCCCACCGTGCAGCACATCATCCACCAGACTATTCAGGTACTGCGTTGTGCACCAATAACATCTTTTTGTGTATACGTGTGTATATAACACGTCTTTCACTTTGCCTCCACAGTCTCGCCCGGCTGTGACGACATCCACGTCTGTGCTTCCCACCGTGGTGGCACCCATTTCAGCCACGAGGACCCAGTCTCCCGTCATCAGTCCCACCGCCACGCACTCTGCAGAAGTGGCTCACGGGTAAGATGACACCGCCGCCTGTCCTCATTTGCGAACGTGCGGTCACCTTCTGTCAACATTCAAGTTGCTCTTCCAGGCGTCCCGGCCTGACCATTCACACGCCGCCGGCCAGCATCAGCATCCAGAGGCCTCAGACGTCACGTGACACGGCCACGCGCATCACGCTGCCGTCGCACCCGGCCATCGGCGCTCAGAAACCTCAGCCGCCGCACACCATGGCGCAGGTTACTCGCCTCCATGACAAATGAAATAGTTTTTCATTTCTGAGACAGAAAATGTGAAGGCTCTGTTCTGACCTCACAGAAGCCCATCTTCAGTACCGTCACACCAGTCGCCGCGGCCACCGTGGCGCCCATCGTTGCCACCAACACGGTGCCCTCGACCACCTCTATAGGTACAGATTCAAAATCACAAGAAAGACACAACTGCCAAAAAGTTTTGGGATGTTGGGCTTTTCAGGTGAAATTTCCCAATAATGCAAAAACCGTGTGTGCGCGTTGGCGTTCAGGTTCCATGCCGCACACCCAAATGAGCAGCAACACTATTGTCACCATGACGATGGCCTCCCACTCATCGCATGCCACCGCCGTCACTACCTCCGCCATCCCCGTCGGTGAGTTGGGTCTCCCTGGTTATTTTGGCATTCCCACTTTCCCTCACTTTCACCTCACCTCGGTGTCGCCCGCAGCCAAAGTGGTGCCTCAACCCATCGCCCACTCGTCATCTCGCGTACAGCCCGACTACCCCGGGGAGAGGGCCAACCTCATCCCCATCCAGGGCCATCGCTCCTCGCCCAACCCTGTCACCATGGAGCCCAGAAGTGACAACAGGTGAACTAAACTGTCAGACTTTTGGCGAAACATCATCTTTGCTATATTGGGGCAAAGTATCACCCGCGGGTCACAACATTGATCAACTAAAGATTAAATAAATAAAACAAATAAGTCACTGCCGTGGGTGTTTATACCTGTCAACTGGTATCCAAACGT